TTGTTTTATTAAGAAGTAAATATGTTCACATTTCATAGCTCAATTCTGGTTATATATAAAGTGAGGCACATTTTATGCCCAATTTACACTCAGCCCGAGTGGGCAGGGAAGTGAGCAGCGCGAGAGTGTAAACACTTCCCATGCCATTGGCGCTGCCACTTGCGCTGTCCGGCGCTCCCTCGATTGTCGGTTTCTCGTGCGCGATTCAAAGGACTGGCAGCGCGAGTGGCCGCGTGTTTTTACATTCAGCCCTCTCGCTCAGTTGTCGCCCGGCAATATTTCCGGCAGCGCGTGTGGCAGGGGAAGCGGCTGAATGTAAACGTAGGTTAATGCTTTAGAATACTACTTATGTGTTGATTTTGTACACTGACTTACATGTACTATTCACAAAAGATTTAAGTTCGAATATTGCGTCACTAAACAGTTTCTCAAATAGTTTCTCATTGTACAATATAATTATACATATTTATATTTGATTTATAACTTGCTGAGCCGCGACTTCATACGTGTGGAATTTAACTTTATATTTCTAAAATAAAAAAATAATCTAAGATAAAAGTAGCCTAAGTTACTCCTTATTACATCAGCTACCTGCCAAAAAAGTCTCGTCAAAATCGGTCTAGCCATTTCAGAGACTAGCCGGAGAGATAAAAATTGTAAAAAATGTTATTTTGGTGTATGTACCGTATTTATATTCATATGCATGTAGTAAAAAACGATTATTTCAATATTACAAACAGACACTCCAATTTTATTTATATGTATAGATAACTAGCCCTAGCGGCTGAAGGACAACTCCCACCTAATGCGAGTTTAGTCTGAGGGCACCGCTAGGGGTTCGAACCTCGGCTCAGACCGTCGTAATATCAATCTCCGTTTTATTTGGACGGGGGTCGATCAGAAGAAGAGGAAAAGCGCGTCGAACCGCTGCACCGTAGTGGCACAGATAACATAATTGGTAGTGGTATTTGGGTGTTAAACTGTGGGAAAGGGGATTGATTATCTTATTGCTAGCAATGTACCATGTCAGGTTGACCTCCACGCGGTTCCCCCTGGAAACCATCGTGATAAATTCTTGGTGAATTTGTCACGATGTGCTAACTGACCTGACCTCATGCTCATCTTATCATCCTCCATTGGTGCCCCGCCAGCGTAAACCGTTAGCGCAGGCGAGTGCACCATTACACACATTATTTATTTATATACTCTTTATGGCACCAGGAAAATTACATTAATAGAGTAATTAAAATTAAAGGGTACAAAAGGCAGCCTTATCGCTTATGCAATCTCTTTCATTCAACCTTTGGGTAGAGGAGAAAAGACAAAAGGTGGGAGGTGACACTAGAATAGAAGAGAAAAAAAAACATAATACTACTAATGACAAATTAATAATACTGAATAACATAACATATTACATATATATACATACATAATATAGATACATAACAACATGCAACAAATAGATACAACACAACACAAAATAATGCAAGCAGCAAGTAACTGTGATACACGCATAGGGATAATACCTTACACTTATCATTTATATAAAAAAAAAACTGTGACGTATGCCCAGCCTTGAACATTGTCACAAGTACATTTCCTATTCGATACAATAGTCAACAAACGGAAATAATTTATTGACAATTATACACAGCAGATGTATTTTCCCATGTACACTTAAAACGAAGTTCCAAAAATAATCTTCAAACTCTATGGTAATTACAATTTATTTATAGATGACCACTGTGAATTGATAGATAGGAATATTCCTAACTATCACCTTGCAGTTATTTTTTATGCCTACACAAGCAAAAACAGCTCATTTTTATCTCTGCACAGCGTCACCTAGTCCCATTAAGCAGAGCTTGTTATGGGTACCCATACCCATACAATTTTTTTTTTTTACAATTTAGTTACAAATCTTTGCATCGCCAGAAGAATCGAACCTGCGACCATTAGAGAGAGACTACAGCATGGAGGTTTTCAAGAAGGGTATATTAAGGTTTCTTAAGTGTCGGCAACGCGCACGTGACACCCCTGGTGTATCAGGCGTCTATAGGCTACGGTAACCGTTTACCATCAGATGGGCCGCATGCTTGTTTGCCACCTACGCGGTATAAAAAAGGCGGTGTTCTAAGCTGGTCCTGATCCAACGGGACCTTCAAATTGCAAAATACGTAGCTACATATACAGTATACACGGCAATCGTCCATAGAGCTCGTGATAATGTGGGATAGCAGTGTTTGTGTAAGGTTAGAAATTACCTTAGTGATAACTCAGCATGCTGAGTACGCCAACCAATTGGCAGTCACCAGCCCTACCTTTTTTTTTTTAGTTTTCTACACTTATGTATGGGTTTTTTTACACTTATAATTATAATTACCCGTCGCTGTGATTTGAAAATTTCTGCTGAATTCACGTCTGGCTAACTGACCTGGCTTCATTATCAACTTATCATCTTCCATAGGTGCCTTCCATATTTTTCCATAAAAAAGTGCCCCTAACCTAATAACAAAAACATCCATTCACATTCACAAACTTTCGCAGTTATATCAGTTAAGATTTACAGAAGTTTAAATTTTTCATTCTAATAACTAATCATATTTGAATTTTCCGCTAAAAATATATTTTATTCTATTTTTTTTCTCCAAATACACAAAACTGACAAATATTTGTGGTTCCTGAATATCAATTGGATCGATCCTGGTGACGCAGTAAGGAAAAGAAAAAGGGAAGAAATCGAGTATCTTATTAGGACTTTTCCTTCACCGACAGAGTGAGTAGAGCTGTCACAAGAGCAGTGACGCACTTATACACATATCGATATATATATGAAAATCTTCACTTTATTTTTATAACCAATAAAAGTTTGATCATCACTATTACATACGATTATACATAAAAAAATCGGAATAAAATTAATAACGAAACACAACGCGATATTTTGTAGTCACTTTATATTTTGTGGCCGACTACTTTATTTTTTTTTTCTCTCTTCTTTTGGGTCCGGCGAACTAGCTTAATTCTTTAATTTTGCAATTTTAATCTCAATTGTAAAAAATGTCAAAATTCAGCTTTCACACACAAATATTAATGCGGTCATTATAAATTCCCATTTTAGTACTATAAGTTGTTGAATGTCCTATACATTATAATTTAATATCTTCTTATTAAAAGAATGCTTGCATTTATTCAACAATCACTTTGCAAACTACATACATTCATCGTCGTTTTTTGACGAAAGTTGTTAGCCATTTTTTTTAATTTATTAATAATTACGGCTCTGGATATAAGTCCTTTTTAGCCCAACATAAATTACAAAATATATTTAATGTTGCAAGTATTGGTTTATAGTAATTACAATGATACGGGGAAAAAATAACAGAAACTTAACATTATAAACGACCAATATACAAAGTACATGAAAATAAACAAAGAAGGTAAAAAGAAAATAAGAATGTAAAAAATGGGTTCGTTTTTGATGTAATTTATAGATCTTGATGATCTTGCTTCGAATAATCGATCATATCTAAATATTTCAACCTAAAGAATATTCGATTGCATTTTTGACTGTGATACACAAATTTCGTGTAGTTTATTGAAAATCAAAAGTGTAATGAAATAATCTAAATTGACATTGTAACATCGTTATCAAATTACATCTAATAATAATAATAGTAATCTAATTAATCGATATATATATATACATAACTTAATTATACAACAAAGAACCTAAAATTAAAAATCTTGAAAAATATAATATTATAACTAAAATATGTTATTAAAAGGAATTCCTTTAGGCAAGGTACCGAAGATACTAGCAGCGTTCCCCCTTTGAAAATTGTAATTGAATAAATCGTTTCCCATTATACTACGTTAAATAAATTTCTCTTTCTATCGGAGGATATTTAAAGAATGTACTAACTGATTTTATTGTACTTAGTTCGTGATAAAGAAGCCAGAACTCTTAAAAACTTAATAAAAATATTAAAAATACGTCAATTCATAATATCGCCGATGTCTCTGTTGTTGGGGTGTTTTTAATATATCAAAAACTATGTTACAGTTTACAGTGGTTTTATTACGATTAGAAAATAAATACAGAAGTTATTATTTTATGTTACACACAGGAGTAGAGTTGCCAGATTTTTTTTCAACCTACATATAAGGAGCAAACGCTTAAATAGGCAAAAAATACGGGAATTTAGTTTTTTACCCGCGACAAATAAAAAACAAAATTATATAGTGACATTCTTTATTTTGTTATATATAAATTCCTGAAGAGCAAGGCAGTTTTAAGTTATTTTTATTAGTTTTAACATATTTATAAAAATCAACACAATTATAATCGTAAATAAAAACAGCCATCAACTTACTTTTTATTAAATTAGGGGACGAACGTTGCGTGGCGTAGATAGATCGATTTAATAATAAAAAACGCAGCATGATTCGAATGCGGAACAGAGTCAATCTCGCCCGGACATTTTAAACTGAGCCTAAAATACGGGACGTCCCGGGAAATTCGGGACGTCTGGCAACACTACACTGAAGCTTTACGTCTAGGGTTGACAGTACAATAAATTTTATTTACCAACAGTCTCGTAGTCTTCATTTTGTCACTTAGTTGACGGCTTAAATAAGAGGTAGTAAATATTTTATTAAAGCCTCATCTTAATATTAGCTCATATTTAATTTTATCTTTTCTTTTTCTTTTTTCTTTGTATCAAAAGTTAATTTTAGACTGCCAGAAAGTACCTATAATTACATTAATAGTCAATCTTAAAAGAGAAATTAAGCATACCTTTAATATCTAAACGTAATTTATGAAATGAACTCAAAAATGCTATGTAACTGTAAATATTATTGACATTTGTGTTATTGTAATATCGATATTGGAACGTCACTAGTTGTGTGGCTTCAAGGCAGTAGAGAATCGATAGGATCGTCGTTCGTTCCTCATTTTGGACTTTCTCTCACTCCACTATTCATTCATTCATAACTGTTGGCTTCTAAATTGTAAATCGCTCATGTGATGTCAACATGAAAAATCGTTAAATTTTGATAAAAATATCCAATAATCTATTTGGTATACTTTTGACAGAAACCAAGTGAAATGTTTTTGCCTTTCTAACAGTGAACTATGATTTTTACTCCGTCACAATATATAACAATGCTAACGGTTTACATATAATTTACATTAAAAGTGTTTTTAAAGTCGGAATTTTACAGAGAATAATCACATTTCCAGTAGACGGCAACAATGTTCCATAAATTTAATTATTTAATATTGTACGGAGAAACGTAAACTAATTTCGTATACTGAATTGTGAAAAGTGGTGCCAATGGCTTTAAACGAGTGGTTCCTGAGGTTTTTCCATAACCACGACATCATGGCTCCGTTTCAGAGGTTCTACCGGGCCATGGTCCTTAAAATGAATCAACGTGAGTACTGAACTCGATATACAGCGTTACTGCGTCTCTACAGCAAGGATTGAGTTATCCTGTTTCAAATGTAGCCTATGGAATTGTACCTACTTTCTCTTTGCAACTTAAATTTCTCTTGAATCTATAGCTTTGCTTATATTTGTCTACAATTTACGCAGGAGATTAATTCTCGATATTTTCTCAATCAAAAATTCAACATTATTTGCAAGTACTTAGATTGACATTTACATAAAGAGACAGATCCTATTACCTTATAACCCTGAAGCTACAACAACCTTAATTCTGCCTTAAAACATAATTGTTCTGTCCTGTAAAAACAATAGTCTATTCATAGTTTAATTTAAATGCTTTATGGTTTAAAAAACTAAATTTGTACTGAATGATCTTCACATATCTAAATAGTATAGATTAAAAATAATTAAAAATTTCAAAAAGAGAACAAGTCCAATGTATCTTTTTTTTTATTTCTCATAATGTGCTAAGAGTAAGCAACAATTAGTGATATGTTTTTATGGCAAAGGACAGATATGGTACAATTTTGTTTCATTTGCACATTTTATCGGAGTAATGTAAAGTTTGTAAATATAACAATTGTAAATGATAAGATTGTAAGATTTTTAAACTTTTACTATCGGAGTGGTCACATGAGATATAACTGTTAACTGTATCTTGAACAAATTATGTTATCAATTAATGTTTGACCAACCTTTCGAGTTAAGTTTTTTATTTCTTTTTGTCATTCTGTATGATATCAGAAATATAGTTGTATTTCGGTGATAACATGCCTATCTTGGGGTCACACTGAAATTAATACATAATCTCACTAAAATATTCTGATATACCCAATATATTATTACATTTTGTACTGACATTAATTTAAATTATAAATTTAACCTATATTTTGATTGTGTAATATCCTCGGTATTATCAAAATAGTAAAGATATCTATTTCACTTTATCTTAAACATTTTTTTTTATAATGTCGGGTCTCTGGGTACATGGCATATATGGCATATGCTGTCGGAGACTGATAAAGATATATCTCCGTAAAGCATTATGTTTACTACGGTTACGGTTTGTAGCAACAGAATCTTAGTTGATACTATAATGAGTATATTTATGTAAATAATTATTATGTCTGTATTATAAAATACATTTTAATTTTAATAAATGGATATGCTGTATTAGAAGACATTTTGAAGAAGTATATTTTTGTTTTTTTTTATATTCCAATCTAATACATTGGTTTATACTGTTATGTTTATACATTTAACAGTAATATTACATATTTTCTAACCAAATTACTACCTATAATATACAATTAATTAGTAATTACTAAACATAGCTGATCATAACCCTAAATATACAATAGCTTCCCATGTATTTGATGTTCTAACTTGGTAAAACAGCCTAAAATATATGTTTCACCATGAAATATGGTGTAACCTTGACCTGCAGACCTAGAGGTGGCTGTTGCTTGACCTTCACTCGTGCCCCAAAGGGCTGATAACAATCAGGCATATTTTATTCAAACTGTATACCACCAATGGAACCAGATGTTTGTTTGTGATTGGCTGTCCAATTTGTTTGATATAATTGTAATGTATTTAATTTCATGATATGTACTGATAATCACAATTTCAATTAATTAGAAATGCACTATAAACAATAATAAATAATAATAATAATCTCTCAGGATAATTCACACAGCGCCATCTAGACACAAGTTAAGCCAGCTAAAGCTTGTTTTATTGCTACTAGACAACAGATTTTTTCGTAAATACATACATATTATATATAGAAAACACCCAGACTGACATAAACAATCATTCTCATGAACACAAATGTTTGTGCCGTGCGAGGAATCGAACCCGCGACCACCGGAAGTAAGGCAGTGTGCTACACCGCTAGACCACCGAGGCAAGTCAGTTATCAATAATATGAATAACTAGCTGTACACGCGACTTCGTCCGCGTGGAATTTAATTATTTTTCTAAAATAAAAGTAGCCTAAGTTACTCCTTACTACATCAGCTACCTGCCAATAGAAGTTCCGTTTAAAATTAAAATAGATTAGGCCGATATTTATAGCATGCTACCTACTCGCCCCGGCTTCGCTCGCATGTGTATATATTATTATATAAACCTTTCTCTAGAATCACTCTAACTATTAAAAAAAGCTATTCAAAATCCGTTGCGTAGTTCTAAAGATTTAAGCATACATAGGGACGGACAGACAGCGACAGCGACCTTGTTTTATACTATGCAATGATACAAGAATTTACTTACTTACATATACGTGAATTATTTACAACATTATAATATAATTTCTGTTATCAGTTAGTCTACCTAACTAGGTCAAATCTGTATCTTGGGGACTGCGAGAGTGGGTGCTAAAAAGATATATTACGTGTATATTACACAGTTAACAATTAAACCTAAAAATATAACATTGCTATGCACTTGGCTTAGTCTCGTACATACCAAAACTACCGGTGAAAACCGAGAAAAAAAATATTAATACCAATAAAACATCACGCTAAATAAAGTAACGAGAGACTTGGCAAGTCCCGTCCTCGGTACTAATCGCCAGCTTAGCCTTGGTGGTCTAGTGGTTTAGCACACCGCTTTACTATCCGATGGTCGTGGGTTCGATTCCTCGCACGGTACAAACATGTGTATTCATGAGTATGATTGTTTGTATCGGTTTGGTTTGTTTTCTATGTATAATATGTATTTATTTACAAAAAAAAATGTATCCATGTATTTATATCAGTTGTCTAGTACCCATAACACAAGCTCTGCTTAGCTTGGGACTAGATGGCGCTGTGTGAATTGTCCTGAGATATTATTATTATTATTCTTATCTCTCATTCTCTAAGCTTTTGCTGATTTTTTTTTTATTATTATTATTATTATATCAATAATCATTTCCGAAGTGAGCCATAGTAACGGTCCTTCAACAAAAAATTAATCAAAGGAGTAAAAGAACTCCTATACACCATATCCAATATCTCGGATTGTCCGCTCCAGAGACACTGGATATCGCTGCACTGCTGCGGACCCAGTGCTTCTGGACGTGGAAATAGGCATAAATATATTAATTGAAGTAATAAAATTGTAATTTACTAACATAGTTTATAAGTTGTTTAACATAATATGGATACACATCCGAAATAAATGATATAAATATTTTTTTTTTTTAATATTTTTTAAGCTTAGTGTTTAACGGATCCAATAAAATACCACTTTTTTTTATCCACTAGTGTTTAATAATCAAGTAATTTATGAAATAAAAATTGAATTATTAATACGTTATGTTATGGTATCTAACTTTTGTTATAATAATTTTAAAATTTCGAATTTCATTACGTAAATAAAAAGTAAAATATACTTAGATGGCCAAGGAGGTTTTATATTCATACTTAATCATACCGCCCACCAAGGATAATATGGCAATATTATCCTTAATTCTGCCCACCATGAGTATATATGGGACCATAACTACATAACAATAATATAATGTAACTTGAAATTATGTTAAATTATCATAAAATATCTTAACAATAGCTAAACAAATAACAATAAAAGTTACAAGTAGTTCAAATCAAAAAGTTTTAGTACACTTATTTAAGGCAGTTAAACTATATTACAATATTTATTTAGTCAATGGTAGGAAACAAAGTTTTGAGACAGTCCTTTTTATTATATTATTTTTACATCGTAAACTGACTACTCGAGTAATACCGTCCAATCCAGGATGCTTTTGAACAACAATACCATAAAGCCATTTTGCAGGAGGAAGATCACTCTCCATTACTGACAATATCACCGATTGACGTAAATAATTGAGAATCAACTGAGGGTCTCCGTGTGGAGATCTTTCATTTGTATCTCTAACCAATAATACATTGTTTCTTACGTATTAGTACATTATAACCGGCCGTCGACTATTTGATTCTAGCTTCATGAATTCATGTAGACGGTAAGTATACTTTTTTTTTTTTTACTAATTTTTTTTTTTTTTTTTTCATTCAGGTTTTTCAATTTATCTTGAAGGTAAGTTTTCTTTAGTTCTATTAATACATGTTTATAAAGTATTTTCTTTTACAGTATATATAAATTGTGGTAACACATTTTGTTTACGACAACAACGATATCTCTGACACAGTGCAACAACACGCAACAATATTCATTGAAGAAAATCTCAAGATCATTTCATCACCAGCTCTTTTTTCATCTTTATTTATACAGGTATGTGTTAAATGTGTTTCAATCTTCTTTTCTTTTAATTTAGTTTCTACTACAGATTTATTAAATTTTATAATTGCCTCTTTCAGCCAAGAACCATATTTCCTTAGGTCTTTATTTTCTACATTCATCACACTACGAGATACGCAATCAGCAGGATTATATTTTGAACCAACATGATCCCACTGACTTAGTTTCAATAAAGTGAATATCTCTGATACACAATTCGCTATAAATGTTTTCCACCTTGCAGGTCTCCTATAAAGCCACGACAAAAAGATGATTGAATTCGTAAGAGCGTGTGTGTTGATTGTATCTGACGTCATAACCATTGCTACTTCTTTTTCTCTGGTGATTACTGGAGCTAACCATCTCAATAGATCAAAAATACGAGAAATATCAGATATAACATTTCTTTTAGTTTCAGGTATCTTCAGTTGAAGTAAGCGTACAACATATTCAAATTCATCACTACTTCGATTCCAAGTAAGGCCAAGAATTTTCATTATACTATCTACATTTAACTGTATATTTCCTTTCAAAGCTATATTTTCTTCACTAATTTCTTTCAATAATTCTTCACTGTTACTACTCCATTTCTGTAATTCAAATCCTCCTCGCTGTAATAATTCATTCATCTGCTTATAGATTTTTTTGCCTTCTTCGACAGATTCACAACCAGTTAGCATATCATCCATATAAAAATGATTTAGAACTCTTTCTGTAGCTAGAGGATAATTAGCGCCA